AAAGCAGTTACATGTGCTGAGATTTGGGAGGAGGAGGAGGAGGAGGAGGAGGATATAAATGTAAGCAATCTGTGTTGAGATTTGGTTTAGTTTGAGAGCAAAAGCTAATGAGAGAAGTATTTGAATGGAGCTATTGAAAGGGACAGAGAGAAGGTGAGTCAGAATAATGAAGGTCAAAGGCAGCCACATGATGGGAAACAGGAACACAATCCTTCGTGCCCAAGAGACCGTCTAAGCATGGAGACAAGGACCTTCTGCCAAATGAGCTTGATGCAACTGTTGTAAAGCTTGGTAAAAGTTGCCTTTCTGGTCTATATCTTTAGGCAAGATGGCCATTGGCTGTGATAGCAGCAGGATTCTGGTGTCTTAAAAAAAAAGAGCAACATTCAGAAATGCTGAGCAGTTCCCATGTTCGGAAGACAGCTTTTGCAGTCGTATGCTGACCTGACGAGAGACTTGCGGGCAAGGACATTGCCATAGTCAAAGGAAAGAGGTGATCCAAGCACGAACTAGCGTTTTAAATTAGAGCCCTTGGGAAGAAACATCTTCTTCTTCTTGCATTATTGCATAAAGGGAATTTCTATGTACAGGGATTCGAACTCCATTCTAAATGTTGTGTCTGTCATGCCATTTCCAAGAAACACGTTGCTTTCCATTGTATACACAGGGTTGAAAAGCTTTCAGACGTTTATTTATACAACACACACACACACACACACACACACCCCCTTGCGTGACTGCAGCTTTGGCTGGAAACATAAAGTCATTGTTTTAACGTGACCGTCCCCTCCCCTTCCCCAACTTCCTTGTGAGAGGAGAGCATTCCTCTTTCACATTCCTTAACCACTGCTGAGATGGGGATGGGGGGGGGGAAGAGAGCTCCGGCAAGGAGGGAAGCAAGGGCTGAAGGAAGCAAATGTTTTAATTGTTAAAATAAATCTCTGTGTTTGGAGGGTGGGGCTGGAAGGAAGCAAACAGACCCGCCAACAATACAAGATGAAGTATGTATGAAACAGGTAAATTAAGGATGATTACGGGGAGGAAAAACTGCCTGCAGGCTTCAGAATATGTCAACCAGATCATTCTAAGATACAAAGAATTAGTGGTGGAGAATTGCTCACATGCTCATGCGAGCAATTCAAAGTATCCTTTATTCTCTTTAACCTGGAAGTCTTGGCGGAAAAATAACAATAATTATAAGAGCACAACAATTGAGTTCTTGTGTCCATTGCACTTGAGGCAGACATGATCCCGAGTCTCTCAGAGCAGGCTAAGCATAAAGATACGTAGTTGGGTAATTAAGTCAGGTAACAACCCGAGGTAAAATGCCAAAGGTTGCAGTGACTACGTATTGGATAATAAGCTTAATGAGCCATTTGCTCAACGTTTTCTTTAATATAATACATGGATAAATTTGTGAGATATGGCAGCACACGTTCAATTTGGATCCAGAAGAGGATTTGGAAACAAGGAAACACTATATTGCATAAAGATGCTTGGAGGAAGATGAGATCATACACACATGCTTTATTGACTAAGGAAAACCTAAAGTTCAACATAGCAGGCTTGTTGTAAATAAAGCTATTAATTTAAGAGAGTTTTGTGCAATTAGTGACCCATACAGACAAAACTGTAGTGGCCTTGGCTGCCAGATGGGTGGTATAGAAAACAAATAAACAAACAAACAAAGAAATATTAAAGATCAAAGGACTGAAGACAAAGATAAGAAGAAGATGACAAGGATATATAATCATTCCACTGCTTTTGAATTTGTATTAAAGAAAAAATTTTGGAGAAGCATTTCCTGACTCACATGATGATATCATTGTAAATGAACAGGTAGCAAAAGATAATACAGTATTTCTTGCCAACCACTGAGATAGTCTGCAAAGCTAACTCCATTAACTCTATAGCCAGTATCCTGTTCAATTTACTGCTTGTGCAACTGCAAGTTTGGAAGAGACTGTGATGGCTTGCTGCCTGTCTGGTTCTAATGGCTGCTCACCTGGATCTTTCTCTTTGCTATAACTGTTTCTTTGTTTGCATTGATGTGTTTAGTAACAGGAAACAGACCAATTGAGCACTGAGTGTGTGCTGAGAAATATAAATGACTTGGAATAAAATTAATGATGCAATCCTAGCTATACAATGAAAGTCAGCTTCCTTAAGAGGAAGAATGTATTTATTCTGAAAATGCTCATTGTATTGTACTATGTATTTCCACTCTATGCCACAAAATGCTGGACCTTAACACAGGCAATTACAAAAAAGGTAGAAGTATTAGAAATGTGGACTTATCATAGAAGGTTAAGGATTTCAAGATGGTGACCAACAAAAAAATATATAATGCATAAGAACTGGAATATCTTGTACCCAGCATGATGTAGTGGATAGAGTGATGGACTATGACTCAGGAGACCTGGGTTCAAATCCCGCTCCAGAAAGTCACCAGGGAGGTGATATCTCACTTACCTTGAAAACTCTGCTAGGGTTGCTATAAGTCAAATGTGACCTGCTGGCACCTAACACACACAGACTATGCAGAAGTGCCACATTTTGGAAGCCAGACTCTCTTTTTTTGGTGTAACGCAAAACAAAAAGGGCAGATTGTGACAAATGATGATTCAAGATAGATGGGAAAAGTAGTGCAGGAAGAAGAACCAGAGGGCTGACAAACTTTAGGGACTGGACTGGATGCAACACAGTGTCCCTGTTCAAGAGCCGCCCCAATCCAGCAGTCAAACTAGCCATGGTGATGGCCAACCTCTAGCAGGAAAGAGACCAAGCAGCAGCAGCAGCAGTTCACACCTAGCTGGGAAAATCTGGTTCCATTTGCCTCTTGGCAGTGTGGTATAGAAGCAGACCAGGGAAGGATTAAAATGCTTAACAGGTGAGCGGCAGGAATTCGCATCTAAGCCATGCCTAACACCTTCCTGAAGGACTATAAATATCAAATTATCATCTGTCACTTCTAGTGTGGATGCCATTATTTCTCTGCTGCTAGCCAGTCATGGCTGAGGTTTCTTTCTTTATATTTACAGTCTCTGTGTGTTTTAAATGGCTGTTTCTTCCACTATAATGTTGCTGCCACATTTTTTGAAGCGCCAAACCATTTTTATGTCAAACGTTCACAGAAGGGAGAGGCCATGGGTCGCTAGGTTTTGTGGCCGGATGGATGTAAAGCAATAGGAAGCCATTTGGTATCCTTAAGAAATGGGGGTGGGGTGGGGAACCTCACAGAGATATTGCTAGGGAGTTAATGTTTTGTTCATCCTTATAGGAAGCCATTTGGTATCCTTAAGAAATGGGGGTGGGGTGGGGAACCTCACAGAGATATTGCTAGGGAGTTAATGTTTTGTTCATCCTTTATGGTTTAAAAGTGTGGCTAAAATATTTGTATGTTCAAAATTGCTGTCCAAATTGAGGCTAGGTTCTCTTGCTGCTTAAGATATTAAAGACACTGGACTTCTTATTCCTTAACTGATTAGCTTTTAAAATTTCTTTTAATTTACTTGTGGAGGACAGGCAGTCTCACACGTACATCAGTGAACCCTACACCCCCTCAACATGGAAGATTTGATAATAGCTGCCCTAAATCTGATATGTTTATTTAATTGTACCATGGCGCTCCTGACACAAAGAAAAACATCATTAGTTGTTTGAATATGTTAAATTTAATTGTCCTTTAATTGTATAACTTACTGTATTTTAGCTGCATCTTGCTGAAGCATGTTATGAACTATCTCACATCCAAATCTTGGGTGAAAAGTGGGTGATATGCAGTATAATGAATGGATGAATGGATGATGCTAAGAGAAATTAAAAAATAATAGCAGACCAATTCCCCATCAATTCATCTGATTTCACTGTTCCTGAGCAGCTCCTCTGAAATAAGCAGTGGGTATTTCTAAGTAAGCACCCATAGTTTTGGTCTTCTCATGTAAATAAATGTTCATGTCATACAACTCCTGTCCTAACTGTCTGAAAATTACTGCCACCAGTACAGTGCCTGCCCTGGGCCATTTAAGACTTCTCAATTGCATCCCACTGTCCCTAAAGCCTTCCCCAGGACCAAAGGGATCCTAAGGGAGTCTAAGAATCTGGTGGGTTGAATATGGCCATGGCTGATGACATCATCAGACTTATGTGGCATAACTTTATGTTATTGGATTTCAGCCACTGAGTGAGATTTACCCAATCTGCTCAACTACCTCCAGTGTAACTTGAAAAAAAAAATTAAAAGGAAGCACAGCTAGCCTTTCATTCAGATATCCCCTTTCTTCTCTGAGTCTATGAAAATTTGGAGTTTTCCACTGCGAAAATTTTGCTTCATCATATCTGTGTTTGATTACTAAGCACTGGGCTATGGCATTGGCCTTGTATATGTAAAGTTGCAGGTTTTATCCATGGCCTCCTCTGGTGTGTCAGGGAACATCCTGAAATAAGGAGGAGACATTGCCGAAGTCCCAGTGTGGTGTATTGGATACAGTGATGGATTAGGATTCAGGAGACTTCGGAGTGAGTCCCTTGGTCAGACATGGAAGTGCCCAGGTGAGGGAATTTGAAATGATGAGCGCTCCTTAAATGCCTCACTTACCTCGAAAAACTTATTTGGGTTACTGTAAATCAACCCTGAGTTGATTTGCCATTCGAGCTCTCCAACTCGTGGCACGGGGACAGTGCCCAGGGCTGAGGCACAATTACAGAAAACATGTAACTGGAATAGTCCTCATCATTCACTCTGAAATCTGGGGTAACCCCCCCCAACAAAAGTCGCATTAGGTCTCGCATTAGGTCATCTGTCTGTCTATCTCGACGAGTTGGGTACCTCACTGTGGAAACCGAGATCAGCAGTTCGATTCCCCACAGTGCAACTCGGGGGGGGGAGGGGAGGGAGTCACCCTTGAGCTAGATGTGCAGTCCCAGAGTGCCACCCGAAGAAAGGGAAAGTAAACCTAGAAAGCCCTGGCAATGGTGGCCATAAGTCAGAAGCGCCTTTAATGGCACGTCGTCATCAAGATAGGAAGATAAGGTGGAATAAAGCCCGTTCGCAGCGTAAGCCCAGAGAGTTTACGGAGGCAGCCTTCGTCCGCCCGGCGAAAGAGAGACTTGGAAAGAGAGAAGAAAACTACGCCTCCCGTGATCCTCTCTGGCAGCTGGAGCGGCAATCCAAGGAGCCTGCGGTTACAGAGTATATAAAGGAAGGAATGGCCCGGGCTCGGATAATCGGAGGCGGTCGAGCAACTGATGAGCGCGGGTGGCACAGGGCGCGATCTTCGGCGCCTCCTCCTCCTCCTCCTCCTCGCAGTCATTGGCGCAGCTTACGGGTTTCGGTGCCGCAGAAGCAGCAGCCGCCACCGAACCGGCTGACTCGGGAACTCTGCGGGGCCGGTGGACGGAGCCTTCGGCAACTCGCTGTGCAGGAGAGCGCGCGCGCACACACACACACACGCGCACACCTGGATTCCCGGGATGTCGCGAGCCGGCTGCTTCGGATGCCGAGCGATGCAAACTTTCTTCGCGCTTGGGAGGTGGCGGAGGGGAAAAGGGGGGGCGAGGGCTCCTGGGAGGAGGAAGACTTTGCGGACGCCTCTGCGGCTGGAGCGCGCTCCCGGCAAAGCTGGGGGACCCGTGCAGCCCGATCGTCGGGACGGCAGGCAAAAGGTGGGTGGGGTTAGGGTTGTCCTAGCCCCCCCCCCCCGCGCCTCCATCTTCTCTTGCACCGACGATCCCTGACATCCTCAGCTGGGAAGCGCATCTCTTTTGGGTTTTACGCCTCTTCGGATGTGGCCGCGTCGGGAAAAGGCTGCCGTTTCTGAAGCGACCTGAAGGATCGGTGGCAGCGAGGGACCCTTCGCAGAAAGGCCGCCGTCTTGAGCTTCCAGGACGCGGGATGATTGCTTGAGCCTCTTCTAAGGATGCTCTCCTCAGCCGCCCCCTCGCTCCGGCGGTGCCTTGCAGACGTGTTTTGGGAGGTGGGCAGGAAGGGGAAGGGGGGGGTTACTTGGTTTATGGCCCGGCCGGATCTCTCTATTTTGGAATATACAATCGCAGTTGCCTCGTCTCCAACTTTTGCCTCGGGAGTGATGCGCGCAAGGTAAGTCCCCGGGCGGCTCAGCCCTGGCACGCGTTGGCTCTGCGGAGGCGCGGGACGAGACCGGAGGGTCGTGTGAACGCCCTCTGCCTTGACGTGCTCGATCCGAGCGAGGGAACGCGTGGGGATCGCGGGGTCGTCCTCGTCCTAGGCGCGGGGATCTCTGGCTCTCCTCCGAGCTCTTTGCCGCCCGGGTTTGGCCTCACCTGAGGGGCAGGAGGACGAATTTGCCGCTCCTCCGAGGTGGGAGCCGGGAATGGGCGGGAGTCGAAGGCCCTCCGGCGGCGCCCTCGTCCGCCTCCTGCGGTTCAGAAAGCGCGGGTTATTCGGGCCTCGGAAGGCAGAGTCCGTTACTTCAGGGCCGGGACTCCCGAGGGGACCGACCGCCGCCGGCGAAGCTGGAGGCCGCCCGCCCGCCTGCGCCGATGGAGGAGCCGCGGGCGGAACAGCCCAGCCGGGGGCCCCATTGCGGGAGGGAGCCGGCTCCGACCTTGGGGGGCAGGGCGGGAGAGTGAAGGATTCAGGACGAGGAGAGCGGAGAGCGAGAGCGCGTGTCTTCGAGGCAATAAAAGCAACATCAAGTCCTGCCTCGTATGCCTGCCTATACACACGCGCACGTGTACGTCTCTTTCACGATAGAGAGAGCACGTGAACAGGCGCTCCCTGGCATTAACAACGGGCGTGGGTTCACATGGTATAACCCTCTGGGGCCCAGATCCAGTCGTTCGCTCCAGCTAAAGCCGACCCACTGCGTAGATCCGCGGGGACCCGGGTCAGCCTGTCGGCGGGCCAGCGTCCTCTTCGCCGGGCGGGCGCGGGCGAGGTGGGAAGCGCCGCGTGGATTTGGGAGCTGGGCTGGAGCCTTGGACACCGGAGCGTCGGTCCCAAGGGAGAAGGGATGGAGGGCATCCTCTCGGGCGGGTTGGGAGTGGGGCCGCCGTGTTGAGCCCGTGCCGTGCCGTGCCCCTTTCAGGCGACGTAAGCGCTCGCTCAGCCGCCGCGGGTTGTGTCGGGGCGGTGAGCTCCTCTTGGTGGGATTTGGACCTTCAGGCTGGTGTCTCCCATCAGCCGTGCCTGTCGGGGCCCCTCACGGTTCTCTGTGTTGCAGGAGTACATGCCGGGGGGGGGGAATCCTTCTGCTCTGCCCTCCACAGCTGGCAGGCGTGTTTGTGTCCCCTTTCCCAGCCCGGCTCTCCGTTGCCTTCTCTCTTCTGTGCCTGACTGGTTTTTATCCCTGGGGGCGCAGGTGCCGATGACCCTGCACTGTAACTTAAAACCTGGGCGCTTCCCCTGCCCTAATGGGCTCTGATGGTTGCTTTAGGGCTGTGCTCTTCTGGGGATAATCGTCCTTTCTTTTCCTGGCCTGGTGATTTCTCCCATCTCTCACCCTCTCGGACTGAAACCCCCAGCAATTTCTTTCCACTAGGAGGTATTTTCATGCGGCCTCTAGAGAGGGTGTGCAAGCCCCTGCTCAGCTTTCCTTTACCCTTGAGTGACTCACCTGCCCCAGAGGAGGCCCTGGCATTTGACCTTTCTGCTGGATCGCACCTCCACCGTGAGATTTCCCCCCTTCCCCACCCCCAGTAAGGGGATCCTATTGTGACTTCTCTGCTTTTATAGTTCTCATGGGAAATGGGGTAAACCTGGCAACTAAGGATATGCTTGAAAGAATGTCTTGACTGCTGTTCTTACTTTGACAGTGACTGCATATTGTATACAGTACAGGGAGAGGGGTTGCAACTGTTACTTGCATCTGGTTTTTTCCCCTTTTTCTTATGGGGTGGGAGAGACCTAATAAAATATGTCCAGGAGGTTCTTTTCAAACAGGGATGAGTGGAAGGTGGCTGTTTGCATGTATGATGCAAAGTCAGCAAGACTTTTCAACTCAAGGCCAGCTAAGAGAGAGGGTTTCTCCCCAAAGGTGCTGGAGTAGAAGGAGAGGAAAGACAGAGAGGTATGGATTAGCTGTAGTTTTTGTGGATTGCGAGTTCAGACTTAGGCCTGGCAAGGAGATGCACCTTCCCCTGATTCGACAACACTAGGATGGGAATATATATTACTGTGCTGTATTTGATGTGTGTGTGTTAAAGGAATTCACTTCCTGAAATTCATGGGCAGTTCTGTAATGAAAGCAGGTGAAACTCAAGTTCAGGTATAAGAGTGTAAAGCTATCAAAATCATTGCAAGCACAATCTGCAGAGTTGTCTTCAGAAGTTTCAAAAGGAAGCAGCCTGGCAGATCAAGGGATCTGGCAGAGGTTTTTATTTCTGTGTAGGCCAGAGGTTGGGAACCCATGGGCTTCCAGATGTACTTCAATTGACGTCATATTTGGCTGCCAGCCATGCTAATTGGGGAAGATCTGAATTGCAGTCCAGCAACATCTGGAGAGACAGAGGTTCCCCATGCCTGTTTTAGGGAGCTAAGCAAACTATTGCAAAAGGTGTGCTAAATGGGATTAAGCACAAGCAGATTGACAGTGGAATTTGCATGATGCAACTGTGTAACATGAATGCATTCCAAAGTGGTCTATGCCCCCCCAGTGTTAAATCAATATACTGTATAAGGTTGCTTTTCTTTTTTCCACTTCTTTAATGAAGACTACTGTACTGTTATCTTGCAGTAGATGGCTACTAATTGTAGACTAAGGCACATCTTTCACTGTAAGTAAGTAAGTAAGTAAGTAAGTAAGTAAGTAAGTAAGTAAGTAAGTAAGTAAGTAAGTAAGTAAGTAAGAAGTAAGTAAGTAAGTAAGTAAGTAAGTAAGTAAGTAAGTAAGTAAGTAAGTAAGTAAGTAAAAATGCTATGAAAATTTTTCTGGAAGGGTGGTCAAGTGTGAGATCACTTGACAGTGAGCAAAAGGCAACTACTCTGGTCGTTCTGCCTCTGGTGAACTACATGTCCCATTGGCCACACTGGGGAGTAATGTGAGCTTTAGTCCAACACGGCAGGGAGATGGCAAGTTGGGTGAAGGCTGATCTGTATGCTACTTTTCACAACTTATTTCTAAAATTATACAAAAAGTAGTGATAGTCATGTTGGCCATAATAAAACTTACCAAACTTAATGTTGGTGTAAGAACATTCTGATTGATCTTATAAAGATTATTCTATAAAGGTACTGTATTGCATTCACATGGATGTTGCTGGTTTCCCCCATAAAATTAGGGCACAATGTATCCAGGTAGTTAAGAGTGTTGAACAGGGTCTTCAACGTACTTGCATAGTGTGGTTTTATAAATACTCCACTCTTATTACACAGTCTCTGGGTTAGTTCCCAGCTATTTATTATCTCTGAGAGAATTTGGAGATGGGACCTGAATACGGATTTGGAAACTACCCAGGCTTCCCAAATAAGGGAGCCAAAAAACATTAGCAAACAATAGAAATTTTTATCCTGCGCATGCTAGATTTGGGTACCTTAGGCAGAATAAAAGTTGTAATCCATGCACTAACATTTTCTTGTCCCTCCTTCCTGAAGCATCATCTCTCATGGCTGATGCTTTATTGTAGTTGAATTTGTCTCTCCCCAGGTTCACCTCCAGCCAGTCTACAGACAGACCTAGCCATAGGAACATATAACACACAGATACCTATGAAACCCTTTATCTTGCATCTTAAAAACCAAATGATCTAACCTTCAAGTGGCTTGCTTGTGTGAGCGGTCACAGCTACCTGAGATGAGAGCCAGGCAAACCCTTGACATGTTGCTGCACATGGACTTGTGTCTGGTTCACCAAGCGGTGTGATGCATTGTGATGTCTTTGGCCCATGCCATCTATGCATCTGAAGGCTGTGTCCTGTACGTAAGATGAGATTGAACCAGCATTCTGAGCAGTTTTAGAACCTAGAATGCCTACCTTGGAACCTGGTTTAGACCCTTACTATTGTCTGCATTGAAAAAGTGGTTTCTTAAAAAAAATTCCAGAGAGAAAATGAGCAGTCTCAGCATTCTGTCACATGTACTGTGAAAGTCTTGTGACTGCTCTTCAAAGCTCTACTTGGGAAAAATTTAAGAGGGGAACCAACCCAAAGAGAGAGGGAAAGTGAAAATGAGGACACCATCTGAGTGATGTCTTTGTTAGATGTTTCTGCACTCTTTGTGGTGGAAGTCCATCTGAATT